TTATTTGACTATTAAGTAACTATTAAGTGGCAATTAAGTAGTGATGTTTATAAAAATTGGACAGTTTCAGCAATGTATATAAGACATCCAGTCCATCCAAATGAAAAAGGCAATATAGTTCTGCCCTATATGTGATCTAGAGAAAATCAGTCAAGATAATTAAATTCTTTATGTAGTAAGAGCAGCCAAAGATTTCAAGATTCACATATGTCCAATGGAATGCACATTCCATTGGGACAATGCAGAAAATTCAATTGGCTTCCTATTCACAGGTCTACAACTTCAATCCAAAAAAATAGCAATAAATACAATAAACGCACTCAATCTGAAATTTACCAATCAGCTACTGAAATTCAACAGTACCACTAAACTTACATGGCACCAACTTGCCTCATATACAGGAATAATTCATCTTGGTCCAGAACCAAATTGGTTCAAAACCTTTGCAAATAACAAGAATCTCATAAAATCATATGGTCCAATACCAAATCCCAGAGTAACATTTTGGTTCATACATGACTCAAACACAATAGTTAAGATCCACAAGAGATAATTATTAGTACAAAAAGGAATAATGTTTAAAGGGAAGCACTTTACAATAGATCCAACTAACAATCTCCTCAGGTGTTCAGGATGCCCAGCTGGTACACAATCATATGGCTTTTGCTAAATAACGTTCATAAGCTCAACAGTATTAACTTTATGGGTATCTCTTAATCCATTCAGTATCAATAAGTATTGACTATTAAATATTGTTGATGAAACCATCAACTCATTATGCAGAAGTGAACAAACTCTCCAATCAATCAATATCAATAACAACTCATCTCTCAGAGCATCACTTCAAGAAGTAGGGCATTACCAACACTACCATATCCAATCCTATAAAAACTATCTAGTTATTAACAAGTGCAAGATAGAACTCTCTAGTACCTGCTTAGCTCCTGGCAATATCCTACTAGCAATACTCGACATCACTTAATAAGGCTCCTAGTGAAATACCATCAAAATCAAAAATAACAAAAAAATCCTTCAACCAGTATCAATTTATCTAAGAAGAATAGTCAAAATTAACTTTTCTTCCTTAGTCCAGAAAATAAACCAAGTCCTGAAACAAAAATCAATAGAAGTTATATATACCAAACCTAAGTCCAGACCATTTACAAACAAGACAATTCAATGGAGCAACTACCCACCACACTTCTCAGAGAGCCCTCTAATTAACAATACATGTTTAGGCAGCAGTGTCAGATGGTACAAAAAAATCTTCAATATTACCAGAAATTACATGATTTGTAAAAGCACCTCAATTCTCCAAACTTTTGAATGGCGTTATATCCTACATGGTCTAAAAATCATTAATCAGTTCAATAAAAATATCAAAAGGATATACAACAACAGCTATAGCAACCTAATAGTGTTTAGAATTAAACTTCTCTCAGGAACACTCCCAACTTGTCAAACACTTTACCAACATTATCTTGATTAATACCCAAATAGGTGTTGTCCAAGATGTGAACTCTGCACTGAAGATATTCAGCATATTTTCAAGTGTCCTGAAGCCTCAGAAGAGACCAGTCAAATTATAAACAACATCAATCAAATTTTTCATCCAAACAAAAATTCCAGATCAATCTCTTACATATGGCAAGTCGTAAAACTGTTATGTGGTATAACTGATAGAATATTTTCTATAACAAATACCACCAACTGGATCAAGGCATCAACTGATCCCTAACCCAATTGTATAATTCAATCTAGAAATCATGATACAACACTGCCAACACCTTGCTCCTTACAGGTATCAAATGGAAATCAAACGAATTACTGAACATCACCAATTTAGCCAAACTAAAAAAAAATTACACTGCTTCTAGCAGAAACCCACACTTCTATGATATCCAAAACAAAACCATCATAGACCTACCGATAATTGTCGTCAACTCTTTTATTCAATGTAATTATAACTATAACAAATGTATTCAAAAATTAATCTTATCTCTTCCAAACACTATTTCCCTTAATACTGAATAGGTATTTATAGCTGCTCAGTGCCACATGGCAAGATATATTGTTTTAAACTTTCTTTTCAATATTAATCATATAGTTATTGTAAGCAAGCTAGCATTTAATTTATTGTACTAACATATGAGAGATGTTGTTTCTTTCATGATGTATACCTTGTTATATATAAATAAAATAAAGAAATGATATTTACCTATTTAAAAAAAAATAAATAAATAAAAACAAAATATTATAAAAATATCTTTGAAATACTCTACATATCTTCAGTATTATTAGAAATAATAAAAAATTTTGACTTATTTAAATCTTCATTAGACTCATTACTAGAGTTCACAATTAAAATATATTTACTAACATGCTTTGTATAAGAGAAATGTCTTGAAAAGATGTATTACATTTGTAATTTATTTTAAAAGTCTTTGAAGGAATCTAGAAAATATGTAGAATTAATCAATAAAATATTAATTAATTTTGATCAATCAAAAATTTAATTTATAAGTACAATAATTATATCAATAAAATAATAAAATGATTTCATTTTCATATTATACATAGCAAGAAAGATAAACAAAATATGTAACTCCTACATGTCCTATTTTGCACAATATAAAATCCAATGATGTAATTAGATACAGTGAAAAAAACAAGGTGATAATGTGTCCTTTTTGTTAAGAAGTGTTATAGTGTTCTTCTCTCTCCTTTTGGACTAATTTTTTTCTCTTCAAGATCAAAAGAAGTTTCATTTCAATTCAGTAACAAGCTTCTTCTGTTGTTGATTATCCTGAGAAGGTATCAAATAATAATTCCTAATATATAAGTTTTATTTCAAGCAATAATCACTTAAAGATTATAAGACTTGTTATAAGTACCTTGAATGTTCTTAATCAATAATAGAATAGTGAAAATTAAATAGTTTACCTAGTTGCAGGTAGTAATAAAAAATTAATCCTGATAGATCAAAGTTGGTACTGGAGGGTTTTTATTTACCAGAACAAACTTTCCAATAACATTTTCAATTCTTTTTTATTTTCTTAAAAAATAAAAAATTTTTTATGTTAAAGTGATAGTCTGAATATAGGCTGGCTATGATTTTTTTCAAGACCAAGAAGCAGTTTTGAAAAAGATATAATTTTATCATTCCCTATGATCACACTTAAAGAGTTAATATTTGAAAAGTCTAAAATAGTTAATATTATACAGTAATAGCTTAATAAATCAATTTTCTTGTAGTGAAATAATTAGTAAATAGCTAAATTATATAGGCAGTATGGTGGTCTTGATATTAAAAATTCAAGGATCAACTACAAATCTAAAAATAATTTGTTAACAAGTATTCTGTATTATATACAGTTTAGCTCTAGTATAAAGTCTTAAGGTTCAATATATTATTGTTTTATTTTTATAAAAAATTAATAAATATAGCAAACTGCAATTTAATTGGAGACAAAAAAAAAACAAAATAAAATTGTTTACTTTTTATCAGTTTAATAAATCAATAAGTACTAGAGCTTGTTTAAACTTATAAAATATTTCAAGTTTACTTACTGTATTTCTTAAATTGTAATGCAAGCAAATTTGCCTACTTATTTAAAATTTTAATAAAATTTTAAATATTAATTTTTATAACTTATTTATATTATAAAAAATATAGTTTAAGATATTCTTTATTAACTTTATTAAATAAAAAATTAAAATTTTATTAAAAAATTTCAAAATAAATAACTTTAAACTTTGTGTTTAAAATTTTAATATAAAAAAATTATATAAAATTTAATATATGTTTAAAATAAAAAAATTATTTTATTTCTACTACAAGTTAAAATATTTAGAATAAATTAAAAATTATAATAATTAAAGTTATTCTTTGCAAATAATTATACAAATTAATTATTATTATATAAACTTTAATTTAAAAATTTTTAAAGTTTGTCTAAGATTAACTTTTATTAAAAAAAGTTTTTTTTTAAATTAAAAATTTTGCTTATAATTAAACTTTAAATTTTATTAAATAAATAAAAAATAAATACTATCAATAGATAATATATAATTAAAACTAATATTATATAAATTTTTAAAAAATAAATAAAAAGCAACTTTTTAATTAAAAAATTTTAAACATTATAAAAAAAATACCTTACAATTTAAGGAATAACTTAAATAATAATAAAGAATTTTTTATTTTCAATAGGTTTATTATTATATATACTGTATGTGTTTATTTATTTATTTATTATTATTATTATTTATACATGTATACTTTATTTATTTATTTTTATTAAAAAATTTTTATATTCAAAGTTTGATTTTATTTCATAATATTTATAAAGATCAATAATTTCACGCAAACTTCGTAATTTGGTTGTGATTTTGAATTTCTCAAAACTAGTGATTTTATTTAGATAAAATATTATTTATATTATATCGCTAGTTTTTGATAAGTAAAATATTTAGTAGCATATAAACATGTGATATAGTATGGAATTTCCATAATTCGGAAATTCCTCTTGAAATCATCTGCATAAAGAACACCCCGAAAATAGCAATGTCCCCGCATGAGTCTGCGATCGAACTATAGTTACACAAACAAAAAAACATCATCTATTCACTTTAAATTTTTGATTCTGGATGAATTTCAATACTATCTATACCATCCACCCAACATGGACCACTTAGGTAAATTTTGTTCTCTTCATTAGTAACAACTACATACCCTCCACGCACTTTGACTACAACCTTTTTCGCATCATCTATTAATCTTAATCGTTTCGCCAAGGCAACACAACTAGTTGAACCACTTCCACAGGCTTTAGTCAACCGATTGATACCTCGCTCAAATGTCAAGGCATTAATGGCGGATTTCCCGAGAATTGATACTCTATTGAGATTAATTCCAATTCGGAATTGGTCCATATCCTGATTCAAGGAATCGCCGATGTTGATTAATTTCTTGTCGTCAATTTCGTCAAAAGTAACCAAATGAGGTTCCGAGGTATTGACGTAATACCACGTAATTCCATCCAAAATTAATTTTCCGTTAGTATCCAAAGCTCCCTTCTTAACAAAATCTCCAGTTAAATCTTCATATACCGATTTACCCATTTCTACGGAATATTCATTGCCCCTTTGAAGCAGTTCATGAAGCTGACCATCTAAGACAATAAAGAATCTGCTCCAAATATTATTATAATGGCTGAAACAATATTTGGCAACGACCCGAGCCCCATTACCACAAAACCCATCTCCGGGTTCATAAACATACATCCTCATAAACAAAGTAGAGTCCGGGTTGCCAACCTGAGCAGAGTCAAATTGTTCCTTAGCTTTGGTAAGAACTAGGCAAGAATCAATTTTTTCGAAACCATAAAGTCGATGATAATAACGAATAATATTTTCATCAAAATTATGTTCCTCTTTGTCTAAATAATCAAAAATCAAGAAAGTATTTCCTGATGCTTCGGCCAAAACTGGCTTATTACTTGGCCGTTTGTCGTGCGGCATGCTTGTAAATTTTTGAGAAGTTATTTTAACGGATGAAAAAAGTTGTCTAAAGGGTATATATTATCTGAAGGCATTACATAATACATCGGAAGTCTAAAAATGTAAAGTATGATCACGATACTAAAATTTTTAAGGATATCAATATCAGCTAATATTGAAAAAGAAATTCAATCGGAGTTAAATTAAACCAAAATCAAATATACTATAAAATTTGTAAAAGTAAAAGTTATACAGTATCTTCACAGAAAAGTGGTTAACAAATAAAGTATCTCTGGATCTTTTCTTTAGAAAAAAGCTAATATATGAACAGTCAACATGTAAAGTATCTTTGAATTCTTTTATGAAAAATTGGCCAATAAATAAAGTATCTCTGGATCTTTTTTCTTATAGATATGCCTTTCATAAATATGAATAATAGAGTATAATTGATATTGTTTATTGTTAGAATTATGATTATTTGAATTATTAATTGTGATGATAATTGATATTGATATTGTTGTACTGAAAAACCAATTTGGACAGATTTAGCTTTTGTTTGATTTTTTGATAAAATTTAATTAAATAATTGAAAAGTAATAATCATTTGGAGAAAGTAAGCTGATTTTAGTTTTTTGAAAAAAAAATTTGAAAATGTTAAAATAACACAAGTATTGTTATAATAAGATTGTATATAAAGATTGTATTAAAACAAACAATAGATTTAATAGCTTTGTTTAAATATAATATTTAAAAACTGTTTAATTTAATAAATAAAATAATATTAATATGAATGGTTTTTATAATATAATAAAAGTGAGGAGGAATACAAAAGAACAAAAAAAAAAATAATTACCACAAGCCTTTTCTTATATAACAAAAAAATAAGCAAGACTTTTAAACTTGAGTATATTTTAATTAGAGATCTTATTCCACTGCATCAGTTGTTTGAAGGTTCATAAGTTTTTAAACTGGGGTTTACTTGCAATAAAAAGTATAAAATATATTTTTTTGCTTAAAGTTATTATAAAAATTTTTTTTAAAAAAAATAAATAAGATCAGAAGAGGATTTATTTATTTATTATTATATTTAATTGTTTGTTTTTTTAATAGTTGAATAGCTATTAAATATAATTTTTTTATTGATATGCAATTTATATTATATCAAATATCTTTTATAATATATAATTAGTTTATTAACTTTTGTATATCTTATACTTAGGAACCTATTACTTGATAATTTTCTCTTATAATATCAAAGAACTATAGAGATAAAAATTATATTATTAGTTTTAAACTATCTAATCTATAAAACTTAATTTTCTTATAAGATATATACTATTACCATAAACTACTGCATACAATACCCCCCCTTGAATAGTACCCTTCCTGATTTTTTTAATAGTATTTTTCTTTTTTTCCTTAAGTAATTTTTCTGGTGGAATGATTAATACCTGGGGTATTGTATGCAGTGGTTTATGATAATTACTTTTATAAGCTACTTATCATATTATATCTTTTCACTTATGCAACATATGTAATAAAGAAAACTTTTGATACAAATATATACTCTCTAGTAAATATTTCAGTTTTGATTGCTTATTGAATACTATCAAATTTAAAGACCATATGATTAAGTGAATTATAATTTCTTAATAATCTTAATCTGTTTCGAAGACTATATAAACTAACCACAAATCATTTAAAAAAACTATATATATTATTACAAATTATTTTTAAGATAGGCTAATTTTTAACTTTTTATTAGATACTAAATTCAAACCAGTTGATATAAACTGTCAAATCTAGAAATATAAATATTAAGCAGAGCACAATTTCTACATACTCTGTTTTATTATATAATAATCATATTTTCATATAAGTAATGTTAATTCATTATTTTTTTTAAAACTTCTTACTTTAATAGTTAATAGTTGAAAAAAAAAACTTTTTTTCATAACTCTTCAATTTGTAAAAAGTTTTCTTTTTTGGTAACAACATGAACGGTAGACAGTAAACAGTAAGCGAGAACCTCTTTCTGGAAGAGGAGTCTATCTTAGCTTTCTGCAGGGTGCAAGGGTTGATTAACTCTTCATAGAGAGGTGGATGCTTTGGAAGTAGCAAGAATCTCTTTAATTAAACCCTTTGCTTTACTGAGTGAAACCTATATAAGCAACCTTCAAATAAAGGAAAATCTTTTTACCATACTCATACACATTACTACTTATTACATCACAAAAAACACACACAAAACCAAACACAATCTTTTTCTCAAAAGACAACATTTTATTTTTTCAGTATTTTTGTTTTCTGCTGATAATAACTAATGCCAGGTTAATTGGTATAACCTTTTGACTAGTTGTCAGTTCTCGTCTATCTCCACACATAAAAAACCAAAATTAGCTTACCCCCACCAAAAGATCTACAACACATAAAACATCAATAATATTTCATATTATTAAACTACATCAAAATAACACAACAACTTATCAAATTGGGAGAGCGTGTGATCAGTGCCCTGCATGGATTCCAGTATTACAATACACAACAACCCACTACAAAAAAAAAAAACAATAAACATCTGAAACATATTCCAGTTACCCCACTATAACACTATAATACAGCCATACTATATAACAGCAATATGTCACAAAAATTATTTGATCAAACTCATCAAGTTATATGTGGCTTACACGATGTCATCATCTGACTGAAACATTTATTTGCATTCAGGAATTATATTTAACAAAAGCTTCAATACTTTTTTAACACCTCTTCTTTTTTACTTTTTTTTCTTTCATTAAATGGTAATCTTGCCTCAAATATTTTTTTATTTTTTATTTTTCCTAGTAGGTAGTTCCTTTCTTTTTTTGTTTGCTCAAGATTTTTTGAAAATATATCTACTACAATAGGTAGTAGACTGATATATATAGCCATATATCTCATATCTCAATATTAATTATGTAACATTATATATTTACTCTATCAATAAAGATCATGAGAAGTGTCTCATTTTAATATCGAAAAAAAAATAGTTAATAGTTAAAAAACATATTAATTAAAATTGATTAAAATAGAGTACAGCTCAGTTTATATATTCAAATATAATATTAATCTTATTATAATTTGTAAGGTTTAATCAAAATTAAGCCAAAAGTTTTTTATTATACAATTCTTTTTTAATATATGATTTGTTACAACTTTATAATTACTGAAAGATTAAAAATCATATCTTTATATAATTTAATTAAAAAAAATATGTAATAAATTTTTGTAATCAAACATATTTAAACTTTAAATTTTTAGCTAAAAATTTATAAAGTTTTATTACTAAGTTATAAATCTATAAATTATTATATTTAATATACAGTATACAGTGTGTTGCAAAACTTTTTGAAATTTTTTATTTATTCATTACTCAAAAACTATTGCATAAAAATTAATAAAAAATATAT